TATATATATATATATCTTCTTTTTCCAGCTGTGAAACCACAGGCAAAATATTTAATGTCTGTAAACCTCAGTTTCCTCTACTATAAAATAAAAACAAATATTTTCTCTTCTAATGCCATCAGATTGGAATGAAATAAACCCCTCACGGTGCTCAGCGTGCTTCCTGACTCAGGGCAAGAACTCAGTAAATATTGACAATAATATCTTTAGACCAATCCCAACAAGGTGAGGAAAGTTAACTTTGTGGAGCTCCTTCACTTTCCCCGGTGGACACAACCTCAGCAAGAAGGAGAAACACGAGTTAGGGAGAAGGTTCCAAGTGAAAGTAAGCACAAGATTTAAGACCCAGGTCCTTTCTGAAGGCTTCCTCCTGGGTAAGATCGTCTCTCTCTCCCCATCCCCTCCAGAGATCTCATATTCATCTGCGTTACGTATTATAATCAAAATATGTCACAAGTAATAATGTCAACCCATAAGTGTCCCTAAGCCTTCCTAAAATGTCTGCTGGCCATAAACCTTGGCTTTCCCTCCTGGAAGCTGTTCTGGGTTCAGGGAGTTTGTAGCCATCCTCTCCTCTGGGCCCAATCCAAGCTGCTGGTGCCCCAACCCCCTTCTTAAACAAGATCACACAAAACTGGGTGTTACCAGCTGGTTCTGAAATTCTTCCTTCTGGGAAGTATTCTGGAAATTGCATTTCTAGAAAAAAAGCAAATTCTACCACATTAGGGAAAAAATCCATTCTAACTTTTAAAAAAAATTGTTAATGTTTTTACTTATTTTTGAGAGATAGAATGAGTGGGAGAGGGGCAGAGAGAGAGAGGGAGATACAGAATCTGAAGCAGCCTCCAGGCTCTGAGCTGTCAGCACAGAGCCTGATGCAGGGCTTGAACTCACAAGCCATGAGATCATGACCTGAGCCAAAGTTGGACATTCAACCAACTGAACCACCCAGGCGCCCCCATTCTAACTTTTCAAAAACCCATTATTTATTTCCTATTTTATCATTGAGCAAATTGGGATTATAACTGGTTAAGCAGTTTCTTCAAGAACATACCCAAGGAGGGATATGGCCCAGCTAAGTCTGCCTTTACCCAAAAAGAAAGAAAAGCCATGAACCACCAAAAAACTCCAAAGTCAAACTTAGTCCCCTTTCCCCATGGAAGTTGAGTATTTGCCTAATAATCTCAGAAATGCTATGATTTTAACAGTTGAGACTTGGGTCTGTAGAAAAAGTAATTTGCTCCCCTAAGGGGACAGCATGATGTGAAGCAAAGACCACAGAATTTGGAGGTAGAGAGTCCCAGATTCAAATGTTGCTTCTGTTTCTTCCTAGATGTCTGGCAAGTTGGGTAACCTCCTTAACATCTCTGAGCCTCGCTTTGCTCATCCATAAAATAGCCAAGGCTGTACCCCACTGTCCGTGCTGCTGAAAGGATTAGAGGCGAAGTATGAGATGGACCCTAATGCATGTGGCACAAACCCAGAGTGGCTGCAGCTGTACCCCAGTGACCTGGGCCACCCACTCTCCAGTCATGTGCATTGAACAGTCTTATCTCCGAATCAAAGGGAACCCCAGGACCTCACCACGAGATGGATAGAAAACGGTGTATGATGGTTTCAGAATTAGAGATTGAGAAAGATGTTGAAATTAGCTGAGCTTTGCAGGAAGGATCTGATTATCTAAAGAACTGCAGAGATATTCTTTTCGTTTCATCAATCATAAAAACGCAGTTAAGTATGGGAAAGCAGCAAAACAAATTCATAGCGAAGAGCACAGAATTTGCTATCAAACCACTGTCATTCAGAACCCAGCTCTTCCATTTATTAAACTAGGTCACCTTAAACAAATTCATCTCCCAGAAGTTCAAATTCCTTACTAGTAAAAAAAAAAAAAAAAATTAAAAAATAAATAAGACAACAACCCTCAAAGGGCTGTTTCCAGGATACAATAAAATGATTTTTACAAAGCCTCACCATCTTTAGCAGAATGGTTAAGTAAATGTGCTGTAAGCATACCAAGGAGACCATAGCAAAATCAGAAATAAAAAACTAGGCTTACCTATATGAGATGGACAAATCACAAAAACATAGTGTATATGGGGAAAAAAACAAAACAGGACTTACAGCACAAGATCATGTATACAAAATTTAAACCGCACCAAAGAGGCGCCTGGGTGGCGCAGTCGGTTAAGCGTCCGACTTTAGCCAGGTCACGATCTCGCGGTCCGTGAGTTCGAGCCCCGCGTCGGGCTCTGGGCGGATGGCTCAGAGCCTGGAGCCTGTTTCCGATTCTGTGTCTCCCTCTCTCTCTGCCCCTCCCCCGTTCATGCTCCGTCTCTCTCTGTCCCAAAAATAAATAAAAACGTTGAAAAAAAAAATTTTTTTTAAATAAATAAATAAACCGCACCAAAATCACTGTCTTTTTTAAAGATACACATATTTTTAAATCAATATGAAAGGACGAAGTGTAGGAGGATATATATTTTGCATACACTAACTTGAGTACCTGTGAGGAGCAGGAGAAGGATTGGGGATGGAGAGAGAAGGAGGGAAAAATAATAAAGTGAAAAAGAGCTTTGCCTTGATCAATAATGATGATTTATCTGGAACTGGCAAGTATGATTACTCAATTTCAGACTTAAGATCTCGTAAGTAACTACAAATCACTTGAAATAGTGCCTGTGTATTTTATTTACTCAGTAGTTTGTAGCTAAGGAGTATGCAGGTTATAATGGGAAAATCCTTCCAAAAACCTCATTTAACCCATATACCTAGACATACGCATCATGATTTGTGAGAGACGTAAAAACTGCAATGATCATATAGCCTAGCCCCGCCATTTTGCAGAATTGAAAGTAAAGTCCAAGGAGAGAAAGTGAATTTTAAAGGTTACTCAGCTAGTTAGTGTCTCTCCTAGAGGTGACAACTGTTGAAATTGACCGTACAAGAAAGCCTTCCAAAGAAGCTAACTCATCTCCAGACCTAGCTGCTGGAGTCAGGTGTGGGGAACAGCTTCAGGAGACCATGTTTTATATATGTCAATGTCTCTCTTTCACTAATGACCTCTGATTCAAGCTGGAGGAGGCTCCCAAGATTAAAATGGTAAAGACTAGGGGTACCTGGCTGGCTCAGTCAGAAGAGCATGAGACTCATGATCTCAGGGTTGTGAGTTCAAGCCCCACATTGGGTGTAAAGATTGCTTAAAATAAAAATAAATAAGTAAACTTAAAAAAATAAGTGGTAAATACATTAGGTAAAATAGTAAAGGAGCACCTGAGTGGCTCAGTTGGTTGAGCATCCGACTTCACCTCAGGCCTGATCTCACTGTTCATGAGTTCAAGCCCCACATCAGGCTCTGTGCTGATAGCTCAGAGCCTGGACCCCACTTCAGAGTCCGTGTCTCTCTCTCTCCCTCTCTGACCCTCCCCCACTTACACTCTGTCTCTCTCTCAAAAATAAACATTAAAAAATTTTTCAATGGTAAAGATTAAAGAGAAAGACTTTTATTATTTTTTGTTATTACTGAGATATAATTGACATGTAACATTGTGCAAGCTTCAGGTGTAAAGTGTGTGGTTTGATTCATTTATAAGCTGCGATATGATCATAGTGTTGGCTAACATTCCATCACTTCCCATAATGATCAAGTGTTCTTTTGTGGTGGGAACAAGAACTAGTCTCTTAGCAACTTTGAAGTTTGTAACACAATATTGTTGGCTATAATTCAATGTCTACAATACAATGTTGTTGACTACAGTCACTCTGCTGTACATTAGATCTCCAGAACTCGTATCTGCCATTTCCAAGTTTGTACCCTTAAACTACATCTTTTAATACCATCTGACTAAGTAGTTTTTGAATGCATGCTGAATAATTATGTCACAAGAAAAGAAAGCACATCGATGGGTAACATGAGGGAATATTCAACATAAAGAGCAGATTCGTCATCCTCCAACTTCTGAAAGCCTTTTATGAGAAGAAGGAATTAAATTTGCCGTGCGTGTCTGGAAGGGGTAAAACTAAAACCAATGTGTTGAAGACGAAGAGAGAGAGGAAACAGATCCAAAATGAGCATTAACGGGTAGAACTGTCCACAGATGGAGGTTCATACAGTAGCTAGATGACCAAGCAGAATGTACTTGGTACAGGACACTTCAGCATCCCATGGGGATTAGGACACTTGCTGACCAGGTTCTTTCCAAATCTGAATCTCTGTGTCTCTTGTCTTCACAGGAATTTCCAAATACAAACCCAAATTAATTTGAATCAGAAACACCAGCTCAGGGCTCAGCTCCAAAACACGTGGAAGAAACATAGATGCCCACGGAGACTCGGCCACGTACAGGATTTCCCAAAAACAAGCTCTATAAGTTGGCCCAGAAATATAAAGCTAACTTCTACCATAGAAAGAATCTGTCCTTCAATTCTGGGATGTTGTTGTTGTTGTTGTTGTTGTTGATTCTCACCCTCAGATCAATTGTCTATATTGAATCCATGGCTGCAAATAATCTTACTATGGTAACAGAGTTCATTCTCATGGGTTTTACTGACTACCACATGCTGGAGATTCCCCTCTTCCTGATGTTTCTCATTTTCTATATCGTCACCCTTCTGGGGAATGTGGGGATGATCGTTCTGATCCAAGTGGATGTCCAACTCCACATGCCCATGTACTTCTTCCTGAGCCACCTCGCCCTGCTGGATGCCTGCTACGCCTCGGTCATCACTCCTCAGATCCTGGCCACACTGGCCACAGGCACGACGGTCATCTCCTATGGCCAGTGTGGTACCCAGTTCTTTTTCTTCACCTTCTGTGCGGGCACAGAGTGTTTCCTGCTGGCAGTGATGGCCTATGACCGCTATGTTGCGGTTAGCAACCCACTGCTCTACACTGTAGCCATGAATCCTAGAATTTGCTGGAGTTTGGCGGTGGAAGCCTATGTCTGTGGGATGTTAGGGTCCATTGTGCGTACCACATGCACCTTCACCCTCTCCTTCTGTGACCACAATCAGATCAACTTCTTCTTCTGTGACCTCCCGCCCCTGCTGAAGCTTGCCTGCAATGACACAACAAACACTGAGATTGTCATTGTCTTCTTCGGCAACTTTGTGATCTTGGCCAATGCATTGGTCATTCTGATATCCTACCTGCTCATCATCAAGGCCATTCTGAAGGTGAAGTCTCCACGTGGCAAGGCCAAGACTTTCTCCACATGTGCCTCCCACCTCACCGCTGTGGCCCTTTTCTTTGGGACCCTCATCTTCATGTATCTGCGGAGTGGCTCGGGCAAGTCCCTGGAGGAAGACAAGGTAGTGTCTGTCTTCTACACTGTGGTCATCCCCATGCTAAACCCTCTGATCTACAGCCTAAGAAACAAGGATGTGAAAGCAGCCTTCAGAAAGGTCACTGGTAGACTCCAGGTGTCCCTGAGTGTGTAGATATGAGTGATAGGACCTTACCTCCTGGTCCATTTTCTTCCCATATCAATATATCCTAACAGGCACCAGCACTCTATGCAACTTAGCCCCACAATAGAGAGAAGGTAGATGGGTGTCAGCAGGCACACAAGAAAAACTGCAAATATGGTAAAACTCATTTCCAGCAACCCCATGGTGCTTTCTTCTTCTCCCCATCTCGCACCTCCAGCCCATTCCTTAGCATACAACAGTCTTATGATACTGCCTGATGTCTTCACTTACAGAATGTCAGGGGTCCAGGGGGCCTTGAGTTTATCTCATCTCACCCCAAGTCTTTGCAGCTGTCCTTGGCTTTCCCATCCTTTCCTTCTCATTTTTTTCCTCCCATTAATACTGCCTTTTTCTATGTCAAAGATTCTATCTGGGGATTCTAGCGATCAATGCTAAATAGTCTTTTGTCTTCTTTTAATAGATGAGTGACTGATCACCTCGGCAAGCAGGGAGTGCTATATAAGACAAATCTGAGTCTCTAAGTGGCCAAGGGAAGGGAGTGTTTGAGAAACAGGCCTTTCTCCTCACCATTCTAGTCTCTGGTCACTTTCCTTCTTGCTCATGCCACAACAATGGAATTTGCAAGCTGCCTTTCCACCTGATCACATCCCACTGGCTTTGCTGTTCCTGCTGTGTAAGGTTACTCTGACATCTCCAAGATGAACTAAAGTCACCTTACCTTTGGCTCCTCAAAGGCCAACTCGCTGGTTTCTGTGGGACACGACGCATTGCTTCTCTTCTCTATTCCCATTGCCTGCCTTGAAGCAAGCCTCCCATTTCCAGGAACAGCAATGTTAGAGAACAAATACAGGTATAAGGAAAACATTAAACCACACATTATCTTCGCTGGCAGAAGGTTTAGTAAGAGGGGGAATAACTAAATCCTCTATTTAGTGAAAGAGACCGCAAAAACCCTTCAGGGCAAATTCTGCTTTGCTCCTTAGGGAACTCACCCCAAATCCAGAGTCCGGACCAAATGAGCTCTCAATAATTACTTTTGAACGGATTTTTATGGCACATGCATGGTCTCATTTGAGCCTCATGGAAACTCCGTAAAGCAAATAAGAAAGACAGGGCTGAATAGAAGATTTCTATTTTGCAGTTAAGAGAATGCTTTCTCATAGTCCCTTTGGATCTTTGCTTAAAGTCTCTTTGTTCTGCATATACAGCAGGAGACAAGGCACAGCTTTCAGACTCAGGCTTGTATCTGAATCCCGATTCTCCTACTAATTCACTGTGAAATGTACCGTAAAGGGCTTCATTTCTCAGATCTTAATTTTCTTCAGGTCTAAAACAAATGTAACAACTCCTAATTCAAGAGCATATTGTAAAAATTAAATGAGGTAAGGGGCGCCTGGCTGGTTCAGTCAGAAGAGCATGCAACTCCTGATATTGGGGTTGTAAGCTTGAGCCCCACGTTGGGTATAGAGCTTCCTAAAAACAAATAAATAAACTTAAATTTAAAAAAAAAAGGTAAAATCTTAAACTAAATAAAGAAGTGAGGTGATGAATAAGAAATCTCCTAGCATAAATCCATTGCTCAATATGTACTGTTCTCTTCCCTTCCCTTCCCTTTCCCTCACTTTCACCCCGGACCTTGCCATAATCCCATGGCTGTTAACAAAAATGAAACAGATCACAACTAGTAGTGAAAGATAGTGAACTGAGGAAGATGAACAATTCAATCTTTTCACCCAAGAAATAAAACGAACATTGGTGTTTACCTGGGGTGGGGTGGATTTATCTGCACCCCACATGGTCAAGGATAACCAAAAGATGTCTTTTCGTTGAAGAGATAAACACCCAGTCAGTCAGTAAACCCCTCTGCTGAACTTTGATTTTATGAGAAGTTGGTCCTCTGTGGCACTCTGTATGGAAACAACCATCTTAAATGGACCATATTAAATTTAACCATATTAAATTTAAATTCCGTATTAAAATGGCCCACTGCCCTGCCTAGAGTTGATTGGTTCAGAAATAAGCACCTGACCCAGGGTAGGTTTGATTAAAAAATAAATAAATAAATAAATAAAAATAATTCCTGGGCATTATGAAGTTGAACATGTAAAACAGATGCAGAATAGGTGACCAGATTGCCCAAGGTAGAGAAGTCAAGAAAGACACAAAAATGAAGCAGTTATTCAAAGAGAATCAGAAATAACAGACTAAGGAGGAGCCCTGAAAGGTTCCATTCTGGGCTTTCCAATGCAGCCACAATAATTTTCTTGCTTCCCTTAAGGCACACTGGGATCCAACAACGAATTCCCCCTTGGGGACTAGTTCAGGCTTAGTCATCAGGTTCAAAGGATTCCATATTTCTAGAACCGGAACGGGGAGGAGTTCTTCAGCATATTACAGCAGATCCACACTCATGGACACTGATTTTATCTCCACCCTTCAAATAAAGAAAGGACTGGGTCTCAGTACCCTGGATACTTCTATCATACTCCCTTCATAGGAGAAACTTTCCTGCCCAAAGCCCTTTGCTTGGGTAACCACTGTTCTGGCACTTGGTCTTGCCCTTTGGGTGATCGGATCAGACTAGAATAAGCCCCTGACCCACATTTCATCAATTCATGAACAAAACAGAGAGCCATGAGGTGTCCTACCGTTATACAATGATTATTAAGCAGGACCCATAAAGTTATCTCCCTCTTGAGGATCTAAACCGAAAAATATGAGAAAAGCTAAGTTATTTGAGAAACAAGACTCAGAAATTATAATCAGAGATGACAAAAATGGCTGAGTCACGTTAATGGGCAGACCAAAGAGAAAATGCACGAATGTCAGATGCTAAGGAGGCAGCAATAAATCTGGTCCCTAGTGCTGCATTAGATCTTTCAGGTCTTGAATGATGTAATTATGATCCAGGCTGATTTCTAGGGCTCTCCATAGGTCCCCAAGAAATCCCTGTCTCCTTTTGAAGCATAAGAGAGTCTTAGCCATAGACTCACTTTCTATTAGATCATCTGAGTGGGTCTTTGTTACAATCTAAAGGACCTAACAACTCATTGCCCTCCCTGGCTCCTAACAACAAAATAACAAAAATGATACCTAAGTCTTACAGAGCACCTATTACTTGCCAGAACTATTCTAAGAACTTTTGTATGTATTTAACAACCCTGTGATGCCTTAGCAACCCTATGATATAGACGCAATTGCTATCTCCACATAGAGATGAGTAAACGACGACACAGAGAAGTTAAAACAAGTTTCCCTAGGTCACAGAAGCCACGTAAGACACAGAAGGCCATGATTTGAGCTCAGGATATCTGGCTCCAGAAACTCCATTCTCATCTATGATCTTATATCACCTGTGGATGCCATTTTATCCACAGCTATCCCTTTTTTGGTACTGAATCACGTAAGGGAAAGTAGCTTTACTCATTAGGCTCTTTCTCCAGGAGCCAGAAAAAAAAAAAAATGGTTTTCCTGCTTCGGAACTGGGAGTCATGTGAAGAACCATTCAAAGACCAATGGAGAGGTCTCCACAAGATGAAATAAAATAAAAGACCACTTTAACAAAGAGAGTGCCTTACTTTTCACAAATGTCTACCCACCTGCAGGGTCTTGGCTAAGCCACCGAAGGAAAGCTGGAAGAGATTCCATGTAAAGTTCATTCCATGAAGATTCGTTCAGAACCTACACTGAGGTGGGCTGAAGAGACCCTATTCTCTGTGACAGCTAAAATGTGACCAGAACATTTAGGTCAGCATCGGCCATAAGGCTTGTCCCAGACAAGGCAGCTCCATTGATGCTTGAGAGAATGAGAGTGACACGGATTCTCAGATCTACCAGCCAAGCGGTACGTCCAAGTTCTCTGCATTCAACTTCTCTGAATAAAAGGAATGAGGTCAGGAGAGACTCATTTCTCCTTCCCAGCATCTTCTGCAGACCTACAAAGCAGAAACTGTACAAATCATTCTTCCCCCATTATAAATCTGCAGGACTTATTCTTTATTTGGGTCTCTGTTGAAGTGGTGCTTCATTTGGGAGAAACCTTTTCTGGCCACCTTATCTAAAATGATAGCTTCCCTACTGCTTATCATTTCCCATCCCCCTACTCTGCTCTTTCATTCTTCAAGACCCTTCACAGTACTTGATATCTGCTTGTTTTTATCCCTACCCCCAGTAGAATTTTTTTTTGTCACCACCCCCATGGACTCAAAGACTGTCTGCTATTTTTAGCACACCTTCTGACCCACAGTAGATGCTCACTAAATGCCTGAGGAAAAACACGAAGAAGATAGAAATGAATAGGATTTCCATTTCTGGCAATATGGTGGACTAGGGTTTTTCTGACCAACCTCCCCTCTGAAAATCATGAAAAATAAAAAAACGGTGGAAAGACACTAAGAAATCAAAGGCTAAACATTCGAGAGAAAATAAGAACCTTAAAACATAAGCAGAGTATTGAAACTATGTTTGCAATCAAGAGCATCTCCCTATGAGGATATATATTAGTTGTCTGTTACTGTTAATTGGTAGCTTAGGGGTGCCTGGCTGGCTCAGTAGAGCATGCGATTCTTTTTTTTTAAAATACTTTTTAATGTTTATTTATTTGGGGGAGTGAGAGAGAGAAAGGGAGAGAGAAAGTGCAAGCGGGGGAGGGGTAGAGAGAGGGAGACACAGATTCCGAAGCAGGCTCCAGGCTCCGAGCTATCAGCACAGAGCCCGACACGGGGCTCAAACTCACAAATTGCGAGATCATGACCCGAGCTGAAGTCAGATGCTTAACCGACCGAGCCAACCAGGCGCCCCAGTAAAGTATGCAATTCTTGATCTCGGGTTCATGAGTTCAAGCCCCATGGTGAGTGTGGAGCCTACTTTTAAAAATATAAATAAATAAATAAATAAATAAATAAATAAATAAGCAAGCAAATAAAGAAAGAAAGAATTGGGAGCTTGAAGCAGCAAACCTTTACAATCACTGTTTCTGTGGGTGAGGGATCCAGGGACAGGTTAGTGGG